TGGCTGCTGCCTTGCGGTGGTGCGATGGCCGGTGCGGCTCGCCGCACCTGCTATGCCGCACTGCGATCTCTGCATTCTGTGCTGACCGGTTGTGCTCTCGTGATCTCCGACGACAGTGCAGCTCTGGCCGACTGGGTTGGTCCTACGCCACCTCCTGACGCCAGTCCCCGTCGACGACGACAGCGTAGCTCTGGCCGACTGAATTAGTCCTATGCGATCTCCTGTTGCCGACAAGAGCTCTCGCCAGTGGGGCCCCGTCCTTGGACTCCTGTGACCGTGTTTTATCTTTCCTTTTCTCTTTCCTTTCGTCGTCACTCACTGTCCCTGCGCATCTCTCTTTATATATATATATATATATATATATATATATATATATATATATATATATATATATATATATATATATATATATATATATATATATATATATATATATTTAATCATAACCTTTTAATCCCTCCTTACCCCCATCCCTTGTGAGCCACTGTTGAGGTGTCGCACCAGATGCAGATAGTTACGGGGCTCACTTTTCTTTTCTTTTCCCTTTTATAACCACATAAGATGCGGCTCGCTTTCGGCGAACTCGCTCGCTGGATTCCATGCCGACTGGTTGTGCCCTCGCAATCTCCGACGACAGCGCAGCTCTGGCCGACTGCACTCGCCCTACTCCATCTCCTGAGGCCAACAAGAGCTGTCGTCGAGTGGTGCCCCGTCCTCGGACTCGTGCGACGAGGTCCATCTTTCCTATCTCCTCTTAACTTCCGTCGCTCGCTGTCCCTGCGCCTCGCTCTCTCTTTCCTCTCTCTGAATATGCGCTTTAATCATATCATTTTAACCTCTCCTTACCCCTATTCTTGTGAGCTACTGTTGAGGTGTCGCACCTGATGCAGACAGTTACGGGGCTCACTTCTCTCTTCTTTTTCCTTTAAGAACCACAAGAGAAAAAGACTCGCTCTCTGGATTTCAAGCCGACCGGTTGCGCCCCCGCGATCTCCGACGACAGCGCAGCTCTGGTCGACTGGCTCGCCCTACGCCATCTCTTGCCGCCGGCAAGAGCTCTCGCCGAGTGGTGCCCCGTCCTCGGACTCTTGAGACTGTGTCCATCTTTCCTATCTTCTCCTTCCGTCGTTTTCTGCCGTTCACTGTCCCTGTGCCTCGCTCTCTCCTTCCTCTCTCTGTCTATTTACATTTTAATCCTATTCTTTTAACCCCTCCTTTCCCCCATCACTCGTGAGCTACTGTAAGGTGCCGCACTCTCATGCAGGCAGATAGGGGGCTCACTTTTCTTTTCTGTTCAGGAATCACATAGGATGCGATTATACGTCATGAAACGTCACCACTGCGGCTGTCGCATCGTCGCACCGCACGCCGCATCGCACGGAAAATCGCATGTCTGTCTCGCGCTTAACTTGGCATCCAACTTCACGTCTCGAGACCGGAATACTCCTCTGTGAGAGCGAAGCTAACTTGTGTGGGGCCAAAAAAACCACATGGACACCAACGTGCTGGCCGAACTCTTTCAACCTGTATTGAGCAAGCTGATGTTTGCAAGAAATGGCCACGACTTTTTCTCGTCTTTTCATGCTTTCCTGTGCGCCATTATCTGCAGCACGCCGTACGTGCCCCTGAGCTTTGTACAGGCTTTCGACCACAGCAACGTCTCAGGAGAGCCAGACTTTTCAAGACAAGCCGCAGTGCGCTATACCGTCTCATGTCCACGCAGGAAATTAGTGCCTGCTAAAGATACCACCACCCCCCCCCCCCACCCAAATTCCTCAAACTAAATTCCGCCTATGCTTTTCTTTGTCACTGCCTGGTAGGCGACAGCGGTTCGACGCTGCAGCAAAGGAATTCGTCGGGGCGAGTTCTGGGAATGTGGCACCTTCAGAATGAAAAAGTAATAGGTAACGTATAGTGAGGCTGGAGGTTTTGATCAAGGATCCCACCCACTGCTATCTGTTGTGGAGGTTTTAGGACTTCGCCGTTACCGGCACCGAGGGACTCGGGAGGAACATGCCGAGCATGAAAAGACCAATGATGAAAACTGTACAGAGGTTGATTCTAAATTATTTGTAAGCGAGCGAGCATTTCTCGCCACTAGGCAAAGATCTATACAAAGATGTCCTACACCATGAAGATGTCGTCGAAGGCACTCTCTCAGGAGCACACTGCTGCTTTTTGTCCTTTCGCATTCCCTAGACGCCAGGCCTAGGGAAACACGGAAAAACATTTTCACGCAATCAGATCATCATTATTGAGGGTCCTTTTACCAGCACCGCCCCCCCCCCCCCCACGCACACACACACAACCCAAAACAGGTGTTGTTCCGGCCACGCTGTCGCATCCGGGGAATCATGCAGCCAGCGAACGGGATGTAACGAGTCCGTCGTGTCGCTGCTCGGGCTGACCACCCACACTGTCGAACGGTGGTCGCAGGCTAGGCAACTCCAGTGACACGTGCTTGGTCACCTGGCGTTGATTGGTGCGTCAGTCACCTCTCAGCAAGAGACGCACAGCGTGGTGGTCCGAGGTGCGTCTTCGGTGGAAACTCGGCGTCGCGGCCTCGGTGTACAAAGGCGCCATGTGTCGCATTTCCGCGCCGGCACAAGCGACAGCACTGCTGCATGGAGTAATTACTACCACGCACCTCCCAATACATGAAAAACAGCCGTGAGTCTTCGCGTTCCTCCTTATCGGCGGCTGCCTTCCATTTCGGCGCCCGCGGTAAAGGCAGGCTCGCCGATCGCAACACGTGGCACCTCACGTTACTGAGAAATGTTTACAGAAGTACGTTACCCGTTACAGTTCCGAAATTGTACTGACTACGTTACTAAGTTACCATAAAAAGTAGCACGTTACCGGTAACGACGTTGCCTGTAATATGTTACCGCCAACACTGTGGATAATTCATATCTGAAAACGTAACGACCACGTTAAATCTAAAAAGCTCTTCAAATATTCTTTAAAATTTTGCTGCAGCCTTGTATAGCAAATTGCTCTGGCAATGCATGTAATACTGTAAAGCAATTTTTCACGTTCACGCATAGACCTTCATCAATGTATGTTCTCCATCTGTAAAGAAACTCTTCGCTATTCCCAATAAGATTGCAGTATGAGTGTCGAGCTGTTTATTGGATCATTTGAAAACTCAGTTGCCTTCCCATAGAATTATCAATGGTGTGCGAATATCCGAGTTTTGAATACGATCAAGACAATACCTAATGAAATAATTCGATTCCCCTTTTAAACAGCTAAGGTATTCGAAAGTTCGAATAATTTTACAGGGCAAATAGATAAAGCACGAAAAAGGCTCACCGCACAACTTGTTTAGGTTAGGGTAGCTGGAACTGTCCGCCTCAGTTAGCCACTGGTTCGGGTGCTTGGCTGCTGATCGAAAGTTCGCGGGTTCGATCCGGCCCACGGCAGTCATATTTTGATGGAGCCGAAATGGAAGTACATCCAGGTACTACGCAATGAGAGTGCACTTCAAAAAACTCCAGATCACCAAATTACCGGAGTTTTCCACTGTGGCGTCTTTTTTAATCATGTGGTTTTGGGAGGTAAAGCATCACTTGAACGCGGTGGTGGTGATGATGTTGCCACAGAAACAGTTAACCTGGCAGACCTGGCCGGCAATTTTCCGGATTTTCCGGTCTAAACGGCTTTTTTCATGTGGTTCGGCTCACTATATATGGCTCAACCCTGTCTCTTGTATAAAACGTGAGATTATGTTAAACCCTTGTTTTCGCATCGAACGTGTAGCTGCCGCAAACACAATGTCTTCACAGCATCTGTGGCGGAACCCACCATTCTCCATCAACGCCTTACCACAGACCTTTAGTTTGAACGTTCACCTATCTTTCTCCAAAAGCAAGCGCAAGTTTACTGTAAAGAAAATTGTCATCTCTGCTCGTGAAAAGCTGCATGAAAGAACTTTCAAGCCAAAAGGAAGGTATCAGCCTTCTTGCTCAGTATGGCCGCGTATGCAGCAAGTGCCCACAAACATGCCTTATTTGGCCTGCTAAACCTGGCTAATTAGCTTCACATGTAAGCAATTCTTCACGCTGTACATTTGCCATTTTCATACTACGCCACACGTTCATAAACTCGTATCGTTCTGGCGTGCAACTCACACTAAGCTACGAATGGACACCCAAATACTCCGGTGAAGAAGCTCTTTAGAGGGTAAAGACGACTCGGCGATGTATCGGCGTCCACACTCATATCACAGCACCTGCTACACAGCAATAAAAAAATCCACGCATATCCACGGAAGTGAATGATGACGACTGGGCGAAGCTGGGTCCTGTGAGGATACAGTCGTTCGTTGTTTCGATGATCTTTACTTGCTGCGTGTCTATCTACATAGTGTAAGTTTACTGCGATAAATGCACAAATACTTTAGTATTTCGTGCTTGAAATGTATCAATTAATAAATAAACATGCATTGATCTTGCTCAAATGGTATGCTATAATTGAAATCAAAGGCACAGAATGGTTGGTTGAGAAGAACATGTCACTTTAGTATTTTGAGATGATTGGTCCATTTGCTAGCAGTAGAAAAAAACTAACCCCGTAATTCTTTACTCGAGGTCATTCGTCTATATTCATGTATGCCCGTGTAGCTTTGCCTTGTTGGTAAACAAACAGCATTCGTTAAGTGTCTTCGGTACCTTGCGGATGCAGAATGTCTCTGTAAATGGTTGGCAGCCTACATGCGCATTACTGCTGTGGACGCCCAAGTTGAATATGTCTAATATTCAGTGGCATCACTGCTTGCAAAGATGCATTTTCATAGAAATTATCCTTATAAGTAGAACCATGTCTGTGTAATATGATTATTGAACCTGTGGCAAAGTAGCAATTATATATCTCTCTAAAGCACATAATTTTAATATTTGATACCAGTGGAAAGTATATGCATAACACGTTTGTAGGGTATGCGAGTAAAAAATTTCACAACCGAATCTAATACTAATCAAACATGTATGACAACCAAACAAATAAGAATACATATTTATTATTGTTAGAATAGCTCTTCTATGGTAAGGCAATCCTTTTCAAAAGAGTTTTATAATGCAATAATATTTTATTTGGATCGATAGCAAAAAACATTAACAAATGAATAGTGTCCAAAAATAAAATGCCCCAATTACGCAAACTAAGGCTACCTGGTACAACCAGTGACGGCCTACGAGGTATGCTGTAACCGTACATTGAAATACCGCAGTTATAGTTGATAGTCTGCGCTTGTTCTTGTCTTCTAATTGTCCGTATTTTCCACCATGTAGTATATATACACTGATCATAAATCAACAACTGGCCCAATTGTCGCCTTGAGAATTGAAGCTGGCACTTTAACACCAAGTTTTAAATGAATCTGAGTCATAAAATTAAACAGTGATCATGATCATGAATTTCTGGAGGAGCATAGCAAATTAAGGACAATTTCGCTTGGTGACACTAAAGTAATACATGGAAGCACCTTTACCTGTAATTAGTACGTCATCGATAGCAGCTGTAAAAGGTTGGGCTGCACGTACCTTAGTAATACAATATTTCAAAGCAGTGCTCCCTCGGTGCTCCACTGTGTTCTTCTTTGAAGGTTTTTTCGGACCAGAGTTGATTATTCGAAAAGTAGCCAAAAAATTCAGTGTTTTGAATATGCGCAGATCGATTATAATAGCCAAGTTAAACTTTCTTCTGTGTAGTATTTATTACCAGTATTACCATATTTTTAGATGCTCATACAACCCTACATATTTGATATGTCTTTAGGGATGTATTTTACACCATGTATTTTTGTTCACATTGAAAATATGAAGTATGTAAGTTCTAGCAGTAATGAAAGCTTTGAGCAACAGAATCGTAACTGTCTTATGTCCATAAAAAACCTACCTCATTGATACGTAATAGGTAAAAAAAAGCAATAAAAACTTCACACATCACAGTCATCCGACCATAAAAGTTATCATTAACGCTAGGGGGGGGGACCTCAATGATTGAAGCACGTGTTTTATCAGTGTGAGTAGTCTCGCGTCATTTTTTCACAATGATTGGGAGCCTGCGCTAACAAAGCAGCAGCAGAGAACAGGGTCTTTCAAGATGCCATTACAAAGCCTTGTCGATCCTAACATAATTGGCACTGGTCACTTTTCTGGCAGCCAACGCATGGTGCACAGCACAGAGATTTCTCGAGGAATAGGTGAAAATACACACTTTCATTCACAAATTTTTTCGCATTCCCATGGCAAGACACTTATTCTCTCACATCGGCAAGCTTATTCAATATGCGCTAATGTGAAGATGACATTTTAATTCTTCATAAAACCACCACCAGAAAGTGAGGAAAGTAGTTTGAGTTATGTGGGAATCATCTAGGAAGACTCTGTAAGGATGCATGCTAGAGCAGATTCGCGTAAAAAATACAAAGAAGCAAGCGAAGAACAAATTAGCGCTCGTATATTTTCTTTGCTGCTGGATTTTGTTTTCATATTTCCCGCTACCTGCTCAACATTATATCAGAACTATACACAAGAATGAATGTTTTCACAAATAATAGGCCTAATTACCCTACCATTTGAAAATAACTCGCATATACACGCCTTGAGAAAGGTGAGAACTTGTAATAGCAGCTCAAGTGTCGTAATTATTGACTTTAACAATTTCATTGATATTGCAGATGTGTAAGCAATAGCGTAGATGAGCATGAAGGCGCAAGCTTATCACAGCAGGGTGTCATAGAAGGAACGAAAACACCATACAGAATTTTGGTACTTTCTCTTTGGGCATGTAGCTTTTTTTTAATCTCCGGGACCTGTATTACCCATTTCGATAATGTTGCGAAGGTACCGAACACATTGAACTATATCACGGCTAAAACGTTTGAAACTATGACCTTGAGCATACGGCATATTCATACCTAAAAAGCAGTAAGCAGGCTTTACTGAAACAATGTATTGCATAGCGTATTGCGACATGCTCCTTATGCTTTGGCACGGCTGCGTGTAACGGTGTCAGAGCAAAAGCCTATAGAAGCAGCCATTCAACTCGCACAGGTTCCAGAACTTATCTCTAATAAGTGATGTGCTGGATTTGTAAGAGCCGAAATTGTAAGCGGTAAGGGCACCTCCACACTAAAAATCAATCACCAAACACTGCATACAGTCACAATAGCAGTTGTGTTTCATCGGTAACATTGAACTCGGAATGTGAATTGAAGGCAGGATAAACCCATTATGGAAATATCGGCCGTCCGAACGAATATTACAGCAGGTCTCTTCGTCTCTTCTTGCCTCTGCTCGTGATGGAGAGCAGCTTAAAACTCCGCCTCGATATGCTTTTCTAGACAGGGAGTCGAAGCGCTGTTTTCCATTTGTGAAGACAGAGCTGAGATCAAGAACACGAGGATGATGGTCCCCCACTGGGCGACATAATCTCCCTGAGACGTAATTGGCAATCGAGGAGGGCACGGAAGGCGGCGTACTTGGCGTCGTGGAACCGCCGCTCGCTGGCACGGGGAGCTAGTACTTTGCCAGAGCCACCCATTCCTAGCATGGCCTCAGTGACGCTCTTGTAGCGGCCGCTTGCACTGGCCGCCAGGATGGCCCCACCGAGTAGAACCGATTCAGTCTCCGAAGGCAGCAGCACCGGCATTCCTGCATTTGGAAGACAGCGATAAGATTATGGTTGAGGAGAATGCCTGAGACACCTCATCAGTCGACAGACGACAAGATTCGGCGAGACGCCGTGACGATTTCCAAGAATTTTCAACTAGTAAATAGAAATATTGGCAGATCCTACGTACATTGCGAACAGATGTTACGCAAAGCTTGAGGGTGGGAGGTGATTGTGTCATAATTTTTTATTACTAGAAACGTTACAAACAGGGGCTAAATATATGTACGAATGCACTCACAGATATACGTTGAGCAGCCACATATATTTTACATGACCAGAAGTTTACTGTGGCGTAACTATGCCAACAACATCTTGGATATTAGCAACAATAGAAGTGGTAAGGTAAGATGAAGCGCTGGTGCTCGCGAAGTGGTAGCCATGGACACTGTTATATAAATCAACTTCAGTGCATGGCAACAAACTGCAACTGACATTCACTCGAAATGACAGTAGTATGAAGCCTTTATTATGAGAGTACATATGTAATCTGTATGAACTTCTATAGCCGGGCACTATGGGGTCTATTTTAGAAGTGGCTCCAAAACCTGGAGTGGTTTCGTGGTAGAATACCTGATTGCCACGCATAATGCAGGGTTCAATTCTTGATGGGACTCGGAAATTTTTTCTTCGCATTTTTCGTGTGAACACTGACAATATCAGCTTTTTCTAAAGCTCACGCAATAAAAGTTCCCACTTCTTTTCTCGCGACTCCTGACAAGCTATTACGGTCAGCTCCCTGTGCCACATGCCAACATATCTGTGAAACCCCCACGGATATGTGCCACACCTCTGGCACAAAAGGTTTTACGACGTACGGAACAGGATAGTGACATAATACATGTCGCTACCAGCGGGTCATATTAATGAAACTATCTTCTTTCATTTCGTTTGTATTAAATGCGAAGCATTTCTTAGCGAACTTGGGCGACTTTATTTGTCTAGCCACCTACGACCTCTAGCTCTCCTAGCCGTTTCGACAATCGAAACCAAAAGCGGTATGGCATAACATGATTGTATGATAGGCATAAAAGACTAGTCATAAGAGACAAATCATGACATGTATGTCATGAGTTTCATGATTTATGTTTCATGGTCCTGTAGCTCTTGCGGTGGTTTCGTTCACATGGCATGTTGCAAAACAGGTATGGTAGACATGATTGGCATGGGGAACACAAGTGACCGACCCGAACATGAAAATCATGAGATGCGTGTCTTGTAGAAACATGACTACATGATACGCTCATGATGTGCCCGCGTCCTTTTAGCTACCTTCACATATTCCAAATTTGGTATTACGTCACGTGAATGGATGATGAACGTATGTGACTGGTGCAAAGAAGATATTTATGAGATGCGTGCGATGAAAGAACATGGCCTCAAGCTATAGACAATAGGCATCAATACACTTGGACTGTGAACTGGCGCGCCTGCGTTGATTTTGTCACGTTACGCCGGTGGTACCACGCCAGGCGCCTATATGCCTGTCATTTGCTCGCAGGTGCTTCATTGCTTTGACACATGCACGTTTGAGCGCACCCGGTGTCTCTCCGTCACAGAGAGAGGCCGATGCGGTGCTGTCTGGGTAACGATGGCAGCGCGAAATGCAGCTTGTCACATTTCGCGCCGTTACCGCCTGGCTGCACCGACAGACGCTGGTTGCGCTGAGGCGTCAGACTATAGAGCGCTCACGTTTTGCTAGCGTAGCGTCCCTGCGCGTAGCGTGTGCGCGCGACAACGTTACGTCGGAGTAATTGAGTCCTTCATAATGCGCTTACCGCCAGTTTCGCTAGCTCCACGTATACCAGTTTTGATATCACGAGACGTGAATAGATGACGAATTTATATCACAAGTGCAAACATGATAATCATGACATGAAAGTAATGTACGGCATAACTTACCTCCACCTCGTAACGTGGTGTAGATTTTAAAATGACATATCAAACCTTTCCCATTCGTGCTTCACATATAATCGATTCCCTAATTACGCGGAACCTGCCAATTCTTCCCTCAAACCCTTTCATACTAATTTCGGTTTACAGCAAGTTAGGAGTGATAAGTAGAGATAGATGGACAGACAGACAGACAGACAGACAGACAGACAGATATAGATAGATAGATAGATAGATAGATAGATAGATAGATAGATAGATAGATAGGTAGGTAGGTAGGTAGGTAGGTAGGTAGGTAGGTAGGTAGGTAGGTAGGTAGGTAGGTAGGTAGGTAGGTAGGTAGGTAGGTAGGTAGGTAGGTAGGTAGGTAGGTAGGTAGGTAGGGAGGTAGGTAGGTAGGTAGGTAGGTAGGTAGGTAGGTAGGTAGGTAGGTAGGTAGGTAGGTAGGTAGGTAGGTAGGTAGGTAGGTAGGTAGGTAGGTAGGTAGGTAGGTAGGTAGGTAGGTAGGTAGGTAGGTAGGTAGGTAGGTAGGTAGGTAGGTAGGTAGGTAGGTAGGTAGGTAGGTAGGTAGGTAGGTAGGTAGGTAGGTAGGTAGGTAGGTAGGTAGGTAGGTAGGTAGGTAGGTAGGTAGGTAGGTAGGTAGGTAGGTAGGTAGGTAGGTAGGTAGGTAGGTAGGTAGGTAGGTAGGTAGGTAGGTAGGTAGGTAGGTAGGTAGGTAGGTAGGTAGGTAGGTAGGTAGGTAGGTAGGTAGGTAGGTAGGTAGGTAGGTAGGTAGGTAGGTAGGTAGGTAGGTAGGTAGGTAGGTAGGTAGGTAGGTAGGTAGGTAGGTAGGTAGGTAGGTAGGTAGGTAGGTAGGTAGGTAGGTAGATAGATAGATAGATAGATAGATAGATAGATAGATAGATAGATAGATAGATAGATAGATAGATAGATAGATAGATAGATAGATATAGATAGATAGATAGATAGATAGATAGATAGACGAAAATTGCCACAGTCACCCTTACCTACTTTCTCGCACCCATCACTGAGCAACCTCCAGAATCATCGAGATGGAAAGCGTGAGTCAATACCTAGTTGTGTTATCTGTCGCGGATGGTTCTCGACAAGACTCGTGCTTTCTTTAGCTTTGGCTGTGCAGCACGCTGACGAAGCTTCTGAAACCCACGGCGATGTATACAAGCGAGCAGCAGATGGTGGTGAGAAGGAGAGGAAAGTTTCGTGCCGAGCGTGTGTAGAGCGGGAGAAGAGAGTTTTCCCGCCGACAGGCAAAGGCTTATGCCTTTAGTGACAAAGCAGGAAATGAAGAGGTTTTCGACCTGCGAGTGAAGGCCTGTGCTACAAGCAAAAGAAAAGTGTGTCTACCGCAAGTGGGCGAAGACCCGTTCTACAGTCCCAGCGCGTGATTGCCCGGCGTGTTACCAGCGAAATAAAGTTTCTTATTGGAGTGCTGGCATTTGACGACGCGAGGTTTCCTGGAAGAGAAACTTCCGAAGCAATGGAACAACAATCAGCGCTGAACTTTAAGTGAGTGATTCTTTGAAAAGAATCATTGAAACTTTGTTCCAAGAACTTTGGACTGAATAACTTTGACGAACTTCTATAGTCTTTAAGTGTCTTGGTTATTGCATAAGACTGCCATGTAGTGGGTGTTGTCTTTGCCCAGTGTTTTGAGCTCTGGTTATACTATGTAGCCCATTGTTTAATTTGCAACGTATTGTATTGCATTACTGCCGAGTGGGCATAATTGTGGGTATTTCGTTCTGTCGTATTTGAGAATATATTTTTTATTTTGTAATGACTCTCGGCTCTGAGTCGTCCTGTGGGCTACAGTCGGCGTCAGCTGACACGTGAAATAGGACCAAATCCAAATTGTCAATGCTTCTGTGGTGCAGTTCAGGGTGCTGATACATAATTGGAATAAAGGCCCGGCGGTTGCCCACCTAATTAACGGGACAGTCCATTGAACGCATGCATGCCGTCAGCGTATTAGAAGTACCTGCATGTCCCACGACGCCATCGTGGACGCAATCCTGTAATGTCATTATGTTCCAAAGATCGCATGTGTTTGTGAAGTAATCAATAGGAGGGTCGTTCCAATTGAACGACCCTCCTATTTATCAACTAGACTACACAACCGGCTTAGTTTCTTGCGCATGTACGGCAAAACGAACTCTTTTAACGCATCCGCTTTGCCTCGTGCCATCACGTTGTGGAATGATCTTCCCGATAACTTGGTATCTGACACTAACCCTGTTTCCTTCCGCAACAAATTGGTCTTACATTTTGGTTGATAATTTCATGTTCACAGCTTCGTTCTTGTATGTATATGACATTCATAATGCTGTGCAAAAAGTTTTTTTTTCTAATGCGCTTATTGCCCCCCTTATTTTTTGTGCTTTATTTTTGTTTGCTTAGGACGAACTGTTCACACTTCCTGCAAGCGCTTTCATGATTTTCCCAGTGTATTATACCACAATCTGGGCCAATTCAACTTACACGTATTGTACACTTCCTAACTGCTGCGTGCCATGAACTGCATGTTTCTAGTTTTTTGGTAACGATGTATGATGTCAATTTATACTTACTTAATTCTTGTTTATTTGTTACTCATGTCTCGAGCTTACGTTTTGGCACCTTTCGCCTTTTTACTTGTTGTACATGTCTTTGTTAGCCCCCCTTACTCAATGCCCTAACCAAGGGCCTGCAAGGTACCTGTAAATAGATAAATAAATAAATAAAGCCACTATCACGCTTACTAGCAGGGCGTAATCCCATGAAATCGTCGCTTGGCCGACAGTGTGCCCATTATCCGCCACGGTTGTCTGTAATTGTTACGGTGATCGACAATCTATCCGAAGGTAACGGGATCAATTTCCAGCCGTGGCGGCCGCACTTTCAAGGGGAGCAGAAATGTGTGACTCCGCATGCTTACATTTGGGTTCATGTTACAGAACCATAGGGTGTCGAAATTTCGGAGCCTTCCACTACGACGTCACTCATAAGCACATCTTCATTTCGAAACCTTGAACCTCCCACTCCTCTCCTGAAACAGACTATATGTGGATAACACTTCACCGAGTGCACC